TGGGCAGCCTCGGGGCGGGTGTTCGAAGAAGTAAGCACAGTGCGGGCATGAGCTGTTTCGGAAGTCGGCATGATGGGCCCCCCTGGCGGTGCCTCAGGTGCCGTCCTCGGCGCGCTCCGCGCGCCAGGGAGGGGTGTCGAGCGCCGATCCAAGAACGCCGCGCGGATCTCCGAACATTTCTGCATCCTATCCCCTCGCTTGCTCTTTTGATTTTACCCCCCTTCGCAAAAAAGGGAGCCTCGTCGGAGGCGTCGGCGATCGGAACCCGTGGGTGCGTGCAGTGCCCCTCCAGCCGACGAGCGCAGATCCCTGACGTCATGACCTTTTCGCATCGTGGACTCCCTGGAGGTCTAGGATCGCTTCCCTAGGGCCAGCTCGCCGTCACGAGGCGTCTCGTGACGGTTCCGAATCTCGTGGAGGGCCTCCAGAGGCCGAAAAGATTCGGGGCGGCCAAGAGGGGAAGAGGGGGGGGTGATGATTTCGGGGTGGGGGGGTCATCATGACTGATGAGCCTGTTTTCCACCACCAGCACCACCATAAATTGGAGGGGGGAAGGAGGTGGAGGACGAAGAGGAGGAGGAGGAAGAGGAGGAGGAGGAGGAGGAGGAGGAGGAGGAGGAGGACCCCCTCTCCCTTCAACTTATGGTTGTGGTGGTGGAAAACAGGCCCATCAATGGCGGGCGCCCTGAGAGTTGCCCCGATTTCACGGCACGCTTTGCTCATGCAACAGGGGTGGACCCAAACGGGGGTTTGGCGATTTCGTGGGCCGTTTTCGTTTCGATGTCGTTTGTTTTAAAAAGGCAGATTGTACACACAACGAGGGACAACAAAAACAAAACGAAGACGAAAAACACCGTTTAGGTTCAGCCCTGGCTGGAGCCCCCTGGTGGCGCCTGCGGCGCCGCTCCCTGGCGCGCTCCGCGCGCTATGGAGGGGGTCCCGGCGGCGATCCGAGGAATCCGCGCGGACCTCCGAACCTCCTCTTCTTCCTGCTCCTCCTCCTCCTCCTCCTCCTCCTCCTCCTCCTCCTCCTCCTCCTCCTCGTCCTCCCCCCTCCTCCCTCCTCCTCCTCCTCCTCCTCCTCCTCCTCCTCCTCCTCCTCCTCCTCCTCCTGTTGTGCAACACGTCCCCTGGCCCGCCCCCTGGCCTGCGCACGTGGCCTCGGGCCACGACATTCGTGGACCCCCCCCCTCGTCGGACGCGCCGCCCTCTTCCTTGGCCGCCCCCCGAAGCACCACCACGGAGAGGCCGCCCGTGCCCCGGACACCTCGGGCGCCTCGAGGAGAGAGCGAGGCGGCGGCTCTGCGTCGCCTTCGGCCCCTCGAGGCGCGTCGAAGAAACATCGAAGACAGGCGGTTGGGTTATCCACCCTACTCTTTCGGCCTCTTATAGGTGGATTTCCGATGCAAGTTTAAGCTGGAGAAAAAGCCAAAGTAGGGCGGATCTGGAGTCAGGGTTGGGGGGGGGGGAGGCAAGCCCGATGACCCGGGTCATCGCCGGACCCTAAAATAAGCAGTCCCCAGGGGCCCGCTGGCGAGCCTGCCGCTCGGAGGCTCTCTCGGAGGCCTCTCGCGAGGGGCCCCCTCGGGGGCCCCCGGAGCTCTCCGCGCGGCCGCCCTCCGAGTCTTCCGGAGGGGCTGGGGGGCTCTCGGCGGCGGTCGGAGAGCCCAGACATCGGGCGCCTCGAAAAAGTCGAGGCGGAGGTTTTCCGTCGCTTTCGGCCCCTCGGGGCCCTCGCCGGGCCTCGGGGCCGTCAAAAAACTCTTCTGGACGCCCGAAATGGGTACGGAAAGAAGGGTACAATGCCCAACAGCAGTTCTTGCTCATTTTGAACAGGACTCGCTGTCGGTGTCGCCGCGGCCTGTGATTTGAGACAGAAGGCCGGCTGCCCAACAGCGGCCGCAGTTGGTTTGGGACAACATTTGTTGTTGGGCATTGTGCCCATTTTTATACCTAACAGCGAAGTCTGATAGGTTTCTAGTGGGGTCAACAGAGAGCATCATGACTCCTCAGGGGGGTCGGGGCGGGACAAGGGGCGGGACCCGGCGCGGCTGCCGTCGAAGCCCAAATCGCTTCGGACATCCTCGCAAAATCGCTCTTGGCGCTGCTAGAACTCCATTCCCGGCGTACATTTTGGATGCCCGGAGCCAACTGTAGGCCACTTCGTGGTCTTCGAGTTCCCAGAACTCCATTCCCGGGCCACATTTTGGATGCCCGGAGCCAACTGTAGGCCACTTCGTGTCTTCGAGTTCCCAGAACTCCATTCCCGGGCCACATTTTGGATGCCCGGAGCCAACTGTAGGCCACTTCGTGGTCTTCGAGTTCCCAGAACTCCATTCCTGGGCATGATTTTGAATGCCCGGAGCCAACTGTAGGCCACTTCGTGTTCTTCTAGTTCCCAGAACTCCATTCCTGGGCCACATTTTGAATGCTGAGGCAGGCTGATGCTGCGGCCGAGGCAGGCTGAGGCTGAGGCAGGCTGAGGCTGAGGCCGAGGCTGAAGGCAGACTGAGGCTGAGGCTGAAGCAGACTGAGGCTGAGGCTGAGGCAGGCTGAGGCTGAGGCTGAAGCAGGCTGATGCTGAGGCAGGCTGAGGCTGAGGCTGAGGCTGATGCAGGCTGAGGCTGAGGCAGGCTGAGGCTGAGGCCGAGGCTGAAGGCAGACTGAGGCTGAGGCTGAAGCAGGCTGAGGCTGAGGCTGAGGCAGGCTGAGGCTGAGGCTGAGGCAGGCTGAGGCTGAGGCAGGCTGAGGCTGAGGCTGTGACTGCGACTGCCGTTGCCACTGCGACTGTCATCGCGAATGCGACTACGACTGCGAGAACAGCAGAATTCTACAACTGGATTCTCATCTGAATCTGAAGGGGAATGCTTCCAGATATGCTCCTACACATCGCTGTTAGGTTGCTTTGCCGGGATAATTTCCATGCCCATTTCGGGCGTCCCAAAAAACGACTCGGGATGTCGGGGGGTCGGGGGCCCGTGCCCCTGGAAGACAGCGCGACGTCGGCTGTCTGGGGAGTGATTCGTGTCACGACGCGAGGGGCTCTGGCAGAGCGCCGGAAGCAGAAATTCAGCATTCTCAAAAGAAACATGTATATTAGAATGGCCTTTTTTCGGCGCCGCCTCGGAACTCGATTTTCCGGCGGCGGCCGGAACCGGCTCCGGACCCGGCCCGAGCGCCGGCCCGGGCGGCGGCTCGGGCGTGCAGCCCGGGCGCCGGCGGAAATGATGCCAGCGCTGCAGCGGGAGCACGATTCGGAACGAGCGGGGCCCGAAAATGAGGACGGCGCCTCAGCGAGAGCAGCATTTTGGCAAAAATGCAGGCGAAAACCCAACTCTGGGGAAACCTGTGTGTAAAAAAACAGTACGCGGGCGGGGGTCGGAGAGTGGTATTCATATTGAGTAACTGTGGAGGAGCAGCCGGCGGAGGAGTCGGCGGAGGAGGCCGCTGCCAGCGAGCGGGAGCGGGCCGTGGCGCAGCTGCTGGCCCCGCAGGGCGGGGGGCGCTGCTGGTGCGGCGTGCCCCGGGAGCTGTGCGGGCGCCCGCGCCCGCCCCCGCTGCTGGAGGCGGCGGCGGCGGCGGCGGCGATGACGACGAGGAGGAGGAGGGGGACGACGACGACGACGACGACGACGACGACGAGGACGAGGACGATGACGACGAGGACGAGGACGACGACGAGGACGACGACGACGACGAGCACGAGGACGACGACGACGAGGACGACGACGACGAGGACGACGAGGACGACGACGAGGACGACGACGACGACGACGAGGACGCCGAGGACGACGAGGACGACGACGACAACGAGGACGAGGACGAGGACGACGACGAGGACGGCGACGGCGACGACGACGACGACGAGGACGAAGACGAGGGGAGGACGAGGACAAGGACGACGACGAGGACCACGACGAGGACGACGAGGACGAGGACGACGAGGAGGAGGACGACGACGACGACGAGGACGACGAGGACGACGAGGACGTCGACGACGACGACGAGGACGACGATGACGACGACGACGACGAAGACGAGATGGACGACGACGACGAGGACGACGAGGACGATGACGAGGACGAGGACGACGACGACGACGACGAGGACGACGACCAGGACGACGACGACGACGAGGACGACGACGACGACGAGGACGACGACCACGACTTTGACGACGACGAGGACGATGACGAGTACGAGGACGACGATGAGGATGACGACGAGGACGAGGACGACGACGAGGAGAGGACGACGACGAGGACGAGGACAACGCGGACCACGACGAGGACGACGACGACGGCGGGTACGAGGACGACGACGAGGACGACGGCGAGGATGACGAGGACGAGGACACGACGACGACGAGGACGAAGAGGACGACGACGAGGACGACGAGGACGGCGAGGACGACGAGGACCACGACGACGACGACGAGGACGAGGACGACGACGACGACGACGACGACAACGAGGACGACGACGAGGACGAGGACGACGAAATCGACGACGAAATCGACGACGAGGACGAGGACGAGGACGAGGACGACGGCAACGAGGACGACAAGGACGAGGACGACGACGAGGCGACGACGAGGATGACGACGAGGACGAGAACGACGAGAACGACGACACGTCGACGACAACGACGAGGACGAGCACAAGGGGAGGACGAGGATGAGGACGAGGACGACGAGGACCACGACGAAGACGACGAGGACGACGACACGACGACGACGAGGACGAGGACGAGGACGACGACGACGACGACGAGGACGACGACACGACGACGACGAGGACGACGATGACGACGACGACGACGAGGACGACAACGACGACGACGAAGACGACGAGGACGAGGACGACGACGACGACGATAACGACGGGTACGAGGACGACGACGAGGGCGACAACGACGACGAGGACGACGATGAGGACGAGGACGACGACGACGACGAGGACGACGAGGACGGCGACGACGAGGACGACGACGAATACGACGACGACGACGACGACGACGACGAGGTCGAGGACGACTACGACGAAGAGGACGAGGACGACGACGAGGACGAGAAGAGGACGAGGACGAGGAGTTGACGAGGACCACGACGAAGACGACGAGGACTACGACGACGAGGACCGCGACGAGGACGACGAGGACGACGTCCACGACGAGGACGACGGCGAGGACGACGACGACGACGACGACGAGGACGACGACGACGACGAGGAAGACGACGACGAGGACGACGACGACGACAACGAGGACGGCGACGACGAGGACGACGACGAGGACGACGACGAGGACGACGACGTCGAAAACGAAGAGGACGAGGACGAGGTCGACGACGACGACAACGAGGACGATGACGAGGGCGACGACGAGGACGACGACAACGAGGACGAGGACGACGAGGACGAGGACGAGGACGACGACGAGGACGACGGCACGGACGCTGACGACGACGGCGACGACAAGGACGAGGACGACGGCGAGGACGACGAGGACGAGGACGAGGACGAGGACAACGACGACGACGACGACAACGACGACGACGAGGACGAGGGCGAGAACGACGCGGACGACGACGTCGACGACGAAGACGTGGACGACGACGACAACGACGACGACGAGGATGACGACGACGACGACGAATGAGGACGACGAGGACGACGACGAGGACGACGCCGAGGACGACGAGGACGACGGCGACGACGAGGACGACGAGGACGTCGACGACGACGACGACGACGACGACGAGGACCGCGACGAGGACGAGGACGACGACGACGAGCACGACGACGACGACGAGGATGAGGACGACGACGACGACGACGAGGACGACGAGGACCAGGACGACGACGACGAAGACGACGACGACGACGAAATCGACGGCGAGGACGACGACGACGAGGACGAGGACGAGGCCGAGGACGAGGACGAGGACGACAACGACGAGGACGTCGACGAGGACGACGACGAGGACGACGACGACGACGACGACGAGGACGAGGACGACGACGACGACGACAACGACGACGACGACGAGGACGACGACGAGGATGACGATGACGACGACGACGAGGAGGACGAGGACGAGGAAGAGGACAACGACGAGGACGAGGACGAGGACGACGAGGAAGACGACGAGGACGACGAGGAGGACAAGGACGACGACGACGAGGACGACGACGAGGACGACGACGACGAGGACGACGACGACGACGAGGACGACGAGGACGACGCGGACGACGACGGCGACAATGAGGACGGCGACAAGGACGACGAGGACGACGACGACGACGACGACGACGACGACGACGACTAGGACGTCGACGAGGACGACGAAGATGACGAAGACGACGACGACGACGACGACGAGGAATTCGAGGACGACGAGGGCGACTAGGACGACGAGGACGAGGGCGAGGACGAGGACGAGGACGACGAGGACTAAGACGACGAGGACCGCGACGAGGACGACGACGACGAGGACGATGAGGGCGACGATGACGACGAGGACGACGACGAGGACGAGGACGAGGACGACGACGAGGACGAGGACGACGACGAGGAAGAGGACGACGACGACAACGACGACGAGCGACGAGGACGACGACGAGGACGACGACGAGGACGACGACGAGGACTACGAGGACGAGGACGACCACGACGACCACGACGACGACGACCACGACGACCACGGCGACGACGACGACGACGATGACGACGACGACGAGGACGACGACGACGACGAGGACGAGGACGAGGACGAGGGCGGCGGCGGCGGCTGCACCGGCGACGACTAGCCGCCCGCCGCTGCTCGAGGCGATGGTCGGAGAGGCTGGGCCAGTGTTCGGGCAGCTCTACGGCGGCGAGCCCGCCGAGTCGTCCAGGCGTTCGGGGTCCCAGTCGGGGCAACACAAGACTTGTTCACTCTGGCCATCCTCTCTTGTCTCCTCGCCTCAGGAGGAGGAGGAGGAGGAAGCAGAGGAGGAGGAAGCAGAGGAGGAGGAGGAGGAGGAGGAGGAGGAGGAGGAGGAGGAGGTCTTCCTCCTCCTGCCGTTGCACTGCTGCTGGCCGCTGCCGTTTGGGGCCCCCGAGCCGCCCCGGGCGGGAGCTAGACCGCCCCCCTCGTCAGGGCCCTTGCGGGCAGCCCCGCCCAGCTCTCGCGCCGGATGGCTTTCGCGAGAGACATCATCAAGGAGTGCGCCTCTAGGCCTCCCAGATTCGGAGGTGGATAGACCTCCTACCCTGACACGTCGATCAAGGAATTGGCCGTTTTCGGTTCGCGAGAGGGCGTCGCGGCCGTCATCTTTGCGGATCCAGGTCCGTCGGATTCGGTCTTAGGCCGTTTTCACTGAAGGGTGGTTTATTACAGGGAGGTTGGTCCACCGCCGACTCTAGGCCTCCCAGGTGGGGTCAGAGTAGATGGGGTCGGAGGATCGCGCCACATCGACGATGCATCACCGATGCGGCTCGATGCGGAGCCCGATTTCCTTCACGCCGACGTCGCCGATGCACCGCCGACGTCAACGACGCATCGCCGCTGCATCGTTGGCGTCCCATCTACTCCGACCCCATCCTTTCCGGCCCCATCCAGAAGGCCTATAACGCCGGAGCTCGGGTTTGCCGACGCTTTTTGACGAGCGCGTCCCAGATCTTGACGGTACAGTGTTCGTGGGACGTCTGCAGCGGGAGCTCTCGCGTCGAGTTTCAAGACGGGGCCTCGTCATTTGCACGGCGGCCCCCGCGAGGAGGCCGAGCGGCGCCCCCCGAACCCGGGTCGTGCGCGCCTCCCCGAACTGGAACCCCCGCGGTAGCGCGGCGATGCTTGCGCTGCGCGCGTCGCGGCCGGGGCCGGAGCGGCTGCCCTTCTCCCGGGGGGAGCGGCGCGAGGGCGCGAGGGCGCGAGGGCGCGAGGGCGCGAGGGCGCATCGCGCCTCGCGGGGCGCGGGGCGCGAAGTCAGGTCCCCATCCTGGGGTGCCCCCGCCGCCACCGCTGGAGTCTCTCCGGGAGGTGCTGGTCCGAGCGCCCCCCAGGAGAGGCTCGGGGGGGCATCACAGGATCGAGGACGAAAGCTGTGCGTGGAGACTGGATTTCCTCTTGATCCTCCTCCTCCTCCTCCTCCTCCTCCTCCTCCTCCTCCTCCTCCTCCTCCTCCTCCTCCTCCTCCTTCTCCTCCCTCCTCCTCCCCCTCCTCCTCCCTCCTCCTCCCTTCCTCCTCCCTCCTCCCTCTCCTCCCCCTCCTTCCTCCTCCTCCTCCTCCTCCTCCTCCTCCTCCTCCTCCTCCTGCTCCTCCTCCTCTTCCTCCAGCCCCTCGGAGCTCCGCGCGGATTTCTCGGATCGGCGCTGGACCCCCCCTGGCGGCTCGTGCGGCAGCGCCACCAGCGCGCTCCGCGCGCCGGGGTGGGGGGTTCCAGCGCCATGTTTACGCGTCTGCTTTCTCTTCTACAGGCGAGGGAGGTACGTCGTCATGAGCCTGCTGTTGCAACAGCTCGCGGACGGCTTCTTCGTAAAGCACCACTTCGGGGCGGCCCTCCGCTGCCTGCGGGCCTACATGGAGCTCTGCGAGGCGCGGCTGCTGTCCATGGAGTCCGACAGGACAGGGAAGCAGAAGAAGCAGCACGTGCAAACAACTGTCGCAGGTCCGCGCGGTTTCCTTGGATCTGCGCCGGAACCTCCTTGGCGGCGCCTCCCGTCGCCGCCCCCGGCGCGCTCCGCGCACCAGGGAGCGAGGTCCAGCTCGGCTCCCAGAAGTCCGCGCGGAGCTCCGAGAGGCTGTGGTCTGTGCCGGGTTCTCGTCTCGACCAATGAGCAAACGACACCACCCCACCTACGGCCCTCCATGCTGCGCCGCGGCCCATCGGGCGCCGTAATTACAGTCGGGGCGCTGAAGAAGGAACCCTTTTCGTCTGGGAGGGGCTCGGTGTTCCTTGATTGTTCCACACCTTGCCTGAGGTTTTCCTTCAGGTTCGATGGGAAATCGAAGGTTACCTCATGGAAAAAGGGGCCTCGTTCTCTATTTAGGGTTCCTTGGGTCAACGCCTCGACTCTTGCGCACACCACGCAGAGGCCCAAGGCGGAGTTCTTGGTATACGCTGAGGCCCGTGGTGCCGCAGGCGGGGGGTCGGTGTCGTTGGTTATCTGGCCCATCGCCCCCCCCCCCCCCCCCGGAGGAAGCACACGCACACCGAGGACCCAGCGAGAGAGGTCCGCGCCCTCCTGCTCCTCCACGACCTGGCCTTGCAGCCAGAGCGCGCGGGCGGCCGCGGGCCCGCGGGCGCGCGCGGCCTCCTGCAGGACCTGCTGCGCAGGTACGGGCGCCCGGGCCAGCTGGCCGGCCTGCGGCTCGCGCTGGAGGCCTCGGCCATGGCCTTGGAGCCCAGCAGGGGGGGGAGGAGGAGGAGGAGGAGGAGGAGGAGGAGGAAGGGAGGAGAGGATGAGGGGAGGAGGAGGAGTGAGAGGAGGAGGAGAGGAGGAGAGGAGGAGGAGGAGGAGGAGGAGGAGGAGGAGGAGGAGGAGGGAGAAGGAGGAGGAGGAGGAGGAGGAGGGAGAGGAGGAGGAGGAGGAGGGGAGGAGAAGGGAGGAGGAGAGGAGAGGAGAGGAGGAGGAGGAGAGAGAGGATGAGGGGAGGAGGAGGAGGAGGAGGAGGAGGAGGAGGAGGAGCGGAGGAGGAAGGAGGAGGAGAGAGGAGGAGGAGGAGGAGGAGAGGGAGGAGGAGAGAGGAGGAGGAGGAGGAGGGAAGAGGATGAGGAGGAGGGGGAGGAGGAGGAGGAGGAGGAACCAGAAGGACCAAAGAGGCATCCCGAGGGCACTGCCCTCTCGCCTCGCTCTCGCCCTCCGGGGCCTGCCGGGTGGGCACGAGCGTGCCCTCGCCGCCGCCGCCGCCGGCGTCGCCCCGGGGTTCTGGTCGGAGCGCCCCCCTGGAGAGGTCCGGGGACCAGGTGTGTCGGCACTCCCCAGACCTGCTCGAGTCATGAAAAAATCACGACGGGAGGTTTTTCGCTATTTTCGGCCTCTGAGGGCCCTTACCGGGCCTCGGGACCGTCAGAAAACGACTCGGGATGAAAAACCGGTCCCGGGGAATGGGTCTGGACCTCTGGGGGTCGCGTCATTGAAAAAATCATGACGTCGGGGGTCTGGGTCTTTTGGGGCCTCCCCAGGAGCGCGACCTCGAGGAAGATCAGCCGGTCGAGCACCCCCGGGCCGACGCGGTGCTGAAGGAGTTCGGGAGCCAGGAGTTCGAGGACAGCCACCACCTGCTGTATGCGGGCCAGGATCAGGAGGGAAAGAAGCACACAGACACAATTCATCGCCGATTCCCACGGAAAAGATATATGGGAAAACATGGGACGCGTGGGGGAATACTAAAACCCAGAAAATATTGGAAAATATGGGGAGTCCTAGGCTTTCTGTGTGTTTAGTTGTGTGTCCCAGGGCCCCTTCACAGGAGCCTGGCCGAGCGCAGCCCGTGGAGGACTTCAGGAGCACGGTGCGCCTCGCGCTGGAGCTCCACGACCTCGCCCAGCGAGGAAAAAAAAGAAAGATGAGGAGGAGGAGGAGGAGGAGGAGGAGGAGGAGGAGGAGGAGGAGGAGGCTCCACGTGACCTCGGGGACGCCCCCGACGGCCGAGGAGGCGATGCAGATGGTGCTCCAGGGGTGGGTCTGCAAAGCCCCCTGGGAGGCCCAGCGAGGAAAAAAAAGAAAGATGAGGAGGAGGAGGAGGAGGAGGAGGAGGAGGAGGAGGAGGAGGAGGAGGAGAAGGAGGAGGAGGAGGAGGAGGGGGGGGAGGGGGGGGAGGAGGGAGGAGGAGGAGGGAGTGAGGGAGGCGGAGGGAGGCGGAGGGAGGAGGCGGAGGAGGGAGGAGGAGGAGGAGGACGACTGCGCAGGCACGCATCTTCGGGGGTCTGCGCGGTTGCACGCATCTTCGGGGGTCTGCGCGGTTGGTGTTCGGGCGGCGCCTCCAGGGCCCTTCCTGGCACGCTCCGCGCGCCGGGGGGGAGGGGTTTCCGCCGGAGGCGCCGCGAGGGGCGCCGCGAGGGGTCGCAGCGCCGAGCCCGGGAAGGCGCGCAGGCTTCCGAAGGGTCCTGGCCTCTTTTTTTTTTTTTTTTTTCCTCCTCCCTCCTTCCCCTCCTCCTCCCTCCTCCTCCTCCCCCCTCCCCTCCTCCCACTCCTCCTGCCTCCCCCCTCCTTCCTCCTCCCCCTCATCCTCCTCCTCCTCCTCCTCCTCCTCCTCCTCCTCCTCCTCGTGCCGTTTTTTTTCTTTTCTTCCAGAGGCGGCGCAGTACCTGGCGCAGCTCGCGGACACCTTCGGACCAGCCGCAACTGTGGGAGCTGTGGTCCTGGAGCCCCCCGGGGGGGCCCCGGCGGATTCGATGCCCCCCTTCGGGAGGTGCTCGACACGATGGGCTCCCCCCAGGGGGGATCTCATCGAAGAACAAGCATTAAGTCGGGCCCGTCCCTCTACAGGGGGGATATTCAGAAGTAGTCAAGAAGATAGTCTGGGGCATTTGTTTGACCACGTTGGGCCATTCTGGGAGTACTTTCTGGGGTGTTTTTAGCTTTTCGTCCAAAATCCCCCTGTAGAGGGACGGGCCCGAACTGCAGTCAACGCGCATAGTAAGGACGCGCGCCTTTTCTAGGGTACCCCTGTGTCCTTGCTTCTGCGGCCCGTCCTTTGCCGTTTCCATTGGGGTTTTGGTCGCCCGCCGCCCAACGAATCCCGATTTCGGCCTCCGAGGGTCTTGCGTCCTTCCCGCCCGTCCTGAATATACGTTTTCATTGTAAAACCGTTTTTGGCAATTTGGGGCAATTTTTGGGAGTACTTTCTGGGGCATTCTTATCTTTTCGTCGAAGACCCCCTCGTAGGGGGACAGGCCCGACCTAAAACAAGCAGAGGCGTGCACGGCATTTCGTGGAGCTCCGCGCGGATGTCTTGGGTCGGCGCCAGGCCCACCCTGGCGGCGCCCCTCGCGGCGCCGCCCCCGGCCCGCTCCACGCGCCGGGGAGGGGGGCTCAGCGCCGGCCCGAGCAATCCGCGTGGACTTCCGAGGGTTTCTGCCTGAGCCTCTTGGGGCTCCTCCTCCTCCTCCTCCTCCTCCTCCTCCTCCTCCTCCTCCTCCTCATCCTCCTCCTCCTCCTGTCCGCTCCTTGGCCTCATTCCCCACTCTTCTCCCTCCTCCTCCTCCTCCCCTCCCTCCTCCTCTCCTTCTCCCCCTCCTCCTTCTCCTCCTCCTCCTCCTCCTCCTCCTCCTCCTCCTCCTCCTCCTCCTCCTCCCCCTCCTCCCTCTTCCTCCCTCCTCCTCCTCCTCCTCCTCCTCCTCCTCCTCCTCCTCCTCCTCCGTTGGGGCTCCTCTGGGCGGGTAGTGGGAACACAGCGCTCCCGAGGTTGTGGCTGGTCGGACCTTCACCGCGTCCCTGCACATCTCGGGGCAACGTAAGACTCGTGCACGCCAGAGCTCGGAGTCGCCGACGCTCTCGGGCGGGCGCGTCCCGGAGTTTGACGGTCCCGTTTTCGTGGGATGTCTGCAGCGGGAGGTCGCGTCAACTCTCCGACGGGTTCTCGTCCTTCTCGTCATGGCCCCGTCGGGCCAACCCGAGCCCCCCGAACCCGAGTCTCACGTCTCCCCGGACCTCCACCGGATGGCGCTCGGCCTCCTCCAGGGGAACGAATGGCACCAGCACGAAGACTCGGAGGTCCGCGCGGATGCCTCGGATCGGCGCTGGACCCCCCCTCTCCCCGGCGCGCGGAGCGCGCCAGGGGCGACGCCGCGGGGCGCCGCCAGGGGGGCCCAGCGCGGATCTGAGCAGCCCGCCGGACCTCCGAGTTTGTATGGCTGTGCTTGTGGGGGACGACCAGTGGAGAGGAAGCATGTTGCCAAATACTTGGCAGATGTCTAGAACATGTCTCAAACATGGCTTCGGCACGTAAAAACATGTGTTTGAAACATGTTTAGAACATGTTCCTGCATTCTAAACACATTCAAACATTCGATGATAGGACTGTCAGGGTGTCCATTGTCGTGGCATCCACAAGTCTATGCCTCGGGGGTGGATAGACCTCCTACCCTGACACGTCGATTAGCAAATTGGCCGTTCCCGGTTCGCGAGAGAGCGTCGCGGCCGCCATTCTTGCGGGTCCTGGTCCGTCGGTTTCGGCCCCAGGCCGTTTTCACCAAAGGGAGGTTTACTACAGGGAGGCTTGCCCACCGCCGAATGCCACTCTTCGCATGTCTATGCCTAAGTCGGACCTGTCTCTCTACAGGAGGAAAACTCGAACATAGTAAAGGACTTGGGCCCATGTTTGCCTAATCTTTTATATAGCTCGTCGAACATCCCCCTGCAGGGGGACACGCCCGACCTGAGTATGTGCCGCTCTTCGTCCCCCTGCCCTCGCCGACCTGCGCCTCCGCGCCCGGGCGGCCCTCCGCGGGCTCGCCCGGCGCAGGCCCGGGCCGCGGGCGCCCGGGCGGCGGGGCGCCGACGCCTTGTGGGCGCAGCTGCAGGCCATCGATGACATCTCGGGCGGCGCCACCGTGGGGGGCCGTTCGATGGCTGCTCGTGGGAGCAGCAGCGCTGCTGGAGTGAGGAGGAGGAGGAGGAGGAGGAGGAGGAGGAGGAGGAGGAGGAGGAGGAAAGGAAGGAGGGGAAAGGAGGAAAGGAGGAGGAAAGGAAGGAGGAGGAGGAGAGGAGGAGGATGGAGGAGGAGGCAGGAGATGGAGGAGGAGCGGAGGCGGAGGAGGGAGGGGGAGGGAGGAGGGGGGCGAGGAGGAGGAGGGAGGGGAGGGGTGAGGGAGGAGGGGAGAGTAGGAGGGGAAAGAGGAGAGAGAGGAGAAGGGAGGAAAAAAAATAAGGAAAGAAAAAAAAGAATAACAAAAAATAAAAAGGAAGGAGGAAAGGGAGGAGGCAGAGGTGAGGAGAGGAGGCAGGAGGGAAAGGAGGAAGGAGGAAAAGAGGAAAAAAAGGAGAGGAGGAGAAAAGGAAGGAAGGAGGAGGAGGAGGAGGAGTGTGAGGAGGAGGAGGAGGACGGAGGAGGATGCCGGGAGGCGAGGAGGAGGGAGGAGGAGGGGAGGAAGGAGGAGAGAAGGAGGAAAGGAAGGAGGAGGAGGAGGGGAGGAGGAGAGGAGGAGGAGGAGAGGAGCGGAGAGGAGGAGGGGAGGACCTCCTCCTCTCTCATCCCTTTCCCCTTTTTTCCTCCTCCTCCCCCTCCCTCATCCTCTTCCTCACCTCCGCCTCCTCCTCTAATTCTCCCTCCCCCTCTCCTCCTCCACTCCTCCCCTCATCCATCCCCCTCCTCCTCCTCCGCATCTTCCTCCTCCTCTTTAGCTCCTCCTCGTCCTCCTCCTCTTTCCTCCTCATCCTCCTCCGCCCACCTCCTACGCCCCTCCTCCGCCTCCTGGGACATCTCGGCGGCGCCGCCGGGGGGGGTCCGTTCGATGGCTGTTCGTGGGAGCCTCTTGGGTCTCTGGGGTCTCTTGGGTCTCTTGGGAGCCTCCTGCCTGTTGGGACGCCTCTCGGGCGCGAGGTTGCCATTCTCCTTGACGCTGAATCTCGGGCGGCGCCACCGTGGGGGGCCGTTCGATGGCTGCTCGTGGGAGTAAAACGGCACTGCTGGAGTGCATCCCCTCCTCCCTTTTCCTCCTCCTCCTCCGCCTCCTCCGCCTCCTCCTCCTCCTCCTCCTCCGCCTCCTCCTCCTCCTCCGCCTCCTCCTCCTCCTCCTCCTCCTCCTCCTCCTCCTCCTCCTCCGCCTCCTCCTCCTCCGCCTCCTGGGCCGTAAGTCGGGCCTGAGCCTCTACGGGAGGACGATTGTTCGATGTCTGTTCATGGGAGCCTCTTGGGCGGCGACATTGAAATCAGCTTGTCCTGCATGTCGGCAGCGTCGGGACCGCGTCTGGCCCAGCCTCCTGCTCCTCCTCTCTCCTCCTTATTCCACCCTCACCCCCCCTCCCCCTCCTCCTTCTCCCAGCCCCCACGAGTCCAGTCCAAGTCTGGGCCAAATCCGGTCCAAATTTCAGGCCCAAATTGGACAGTGCCGGGGGCCACGCAGGCTCCCATGAAACGGACACCAGGGGGGCTGCGCGAGGCCCGCGGTCTTCCGATCGGGGGTGGACAGACCTCCCACCCTGACACGTCGATTGGCGAATTGGCCGTCTTCGGCTCGCGAGAGGGCGTCGCGGCCGTCGTTGTTGCGGGTGCGGGTCCGTCGGTTTCGGCCCCAGGCCGCGTGAGGTTTGTCCACCGCCGATCCGAGCGGGCGGAGGGGCGCCTTTAGCTTCTTGGAGGGCGGGGGCCTTCTGTCAGAGGAGGGAGAGGCACCCATACATCTCAAGTCGGGCACGTCCCTCCTACAGGAGGAAGACTCAAGAATAGTTTTTTTTTTAATAGTCGGGGGACGATGTTTCGACCATTTTGGGGGGCTATGTTTGAGCATCTGCAGGGGGGCACGCCCGACTTGACCAGCATTGCCTCCACGCTTCGCTCGCTTCCCCCTTGCCGGGCCTCCCGGGCGGCCCTCGGCGCCTCCGCTGCACTCGCCTCGACGCCCTGGTCCGGACGCAGCCCGGGAGAGGCCCGGGGAGCAGCGGTGTCGGCACCCTCCCGGGGGCCCCCAGACGGTGTGGTGACCGCACCGTGTGGCGGAGGGAGGACGAGGAGGAGGGGGAGGGAAGAGGAGGGGGGAGGAGGAGGAGGAGGAGGAGGAGGAGGAGGAGGAGGAGGAGGAGGAGGAGGAGGAGGAGGAGGAGTAGGAGGAGGGGGGCGGGAGGAGGAGGAGGAGGAGGAGGGTCGGTGGGGATGCGGGGTCACCGCGCGGCTTTAGGACTGGCGCCCCTCTGCGAGGACGCCTCGGGCGACGGGGGGCCTCCAGGGTGCCGAAGCCGCGCGCTGTCGGGCCGTGCGGCGAGGTCTTGGGGGGCGTCGTGGTCACCGCACGGTCTGTCTCCGCACCGTTTCGGGACCCCCCAACAAGGGCTCCCTCGAGGGCGCGAAGTTATTCGCGCTTCGCGCTTCGCGGTCCTCGTTCCTTCTCCCCCTCCTCCTCGTCCTCCTATTCTCCCTTCGGGAGGGCGGCGCGAGAGCGCGAAGTTATTCGCGCTTCGCGCAGCGCGAAGCGCGAAGTTGGGAGCCCTTACCCAAGCTGTTGGTTCCCCCATTCTGAGAAGGCCCCGGAACTCTCTCCGAGAAGGCCTTCTCCGAAGCCAGGCGGGCTTCTATAGGAAGCCCCCCCGCCTCCTTTGAAGCCCGGGCGCCTTCTTGGATCGCCCACACACCCGAGGCCTCGGTCTCTAAGCAGGGCGGGACCTAAATGGTGTTTTGGCGATGTCGTGGGCCGTTTTCGTTTCGACTTCGTTTTGCGGTAGAGGTGGATGGAAGACAAAACGAGGGAAAACGAAAACGCAGCGAAAACGAAAAACACCGTTTTAGGCTCGGCGCCCCGTCTCTGAGAAGGCTCCCCAGAAGCCAGGGGGGGGGGGGGGGGGCTTCCGGGAAGCCCCCCCCCCCCCCGCCTTGTTCGAGGCTCCGGCGCCTTCTCGGATCGCCCGACATGGGTACCGAAAGAATGGGCACGATGCCCAACAGCAGTTCCTGTTCATTTTGAACAGGACTCGCTGTCCGCGACGCCGCGGCCTGTGTCCATTTGAGACAGAAGGCCGCCTGCCCAACAGCGGCCGCTGTTGGTTCGGGACAACATTTGTTGTTGGGCATATTGCCCATTCTTTCGGTACCCATTTCGGGTGTCCAAATTCTCGGATCGCCCACGCGCCCCTCGCGACACCCCCGCGGTGGGCGCCGCCGAGCAGCTGTGCCCGGCGCCTCTGGCGCCTCCTGCCCCGGTCCTGCGCGGAGGGGGGCCCGCGGAGGCGCGGCGGCGGCCCCCCCCGCGCCGACGGCCCCGCCCCCGCCCGGGACCTCGGCCCCCGGACCCTTCCAGAGAGGGGCCACCCTGCGGATCCAGGCGCGGCAGGAGGAGGAGGAGGAGGAGGAGGAGGAGGAGGAGGAGGAGGAGGAGGAGGAGGAGAAGGAGGAGTGGGGCCCAGAAAGCGAAGAAGAAAAAACGCCATAGACAGAAACTGTTGGCGCTCCCCGCGGATTTCTTGGATCCGCGCTGGGCCCCCCTTGGCGGCGCCTCCGGCGCCGCCCCCAAGAAATCCGCGCGGAGCTCGACAAGTTTATGCTGATGCCGTTTTTACGTTTTTCTAGAAAGAGCGAAGAAATTGGGCATCCGCCGATCTGATGTTTTCACTCAGCGGCCGCGGAGTTCCCGACCCCTTCCCCAAGGCGAACTAGTTCTGCATCCAGGACACATTTTTGATGGCCCTGGGGCTCGAACGCAGCCTCCGAGGACCAGAATTTTCAAAAGATGCATGCATTGGAAAACCACATCGTCGGATACTCAGGTTTTCGGGTCATGGCTCGAGCCTCTGGCGGCAGTTCGGGACGATTCTGGCACCCCTGGATCGCCCTCGTCGAGGCGCAGCTGCTGGGAAGCACCCCGA